GACCAATCACAGTCGATTATTCTTCTCACATTCGACTGTGATTGGTCAATTTCTTACTCTTACTTCTTACTTCGTGTATTGTAGACGGGCCTTCATAAAACGATCAATCCATTCGTACGTATTTTCAAATTAAATAAAAAAAAAACAAAAATATTCTACTAAGTAAAAATTAACTTTCAATATATATGCTCTAAAAATAATACAAAATATTGTATTTTTTGTTTGCAGAATGAACATAGCATGGTATCAAACTTCGTCTCGAACAAGGAAAATTTTAATTTTTATGCTAATGAAGACACGAGAACCTTGTGTATTAACAGCAGGAAAAATGTTTGTCATATCAATGGATACTTTCTCTACGGTAAGACATATTCTAATTACATATATACATATAATATATGTATATAAAATCTTGATACATACATATACATGTATATACAAGAATATTATCTTAAAATCTAAAAAACTGTTTTGAACCTTCGGTTACATATATACAGGGTGTCCCGACCTTTTTTGCCAATCACTTTTGTGTGGATAGAGCGGACTAAACTGAGTCGGAAAGTCCTCTACCATTTTGCAATTTTCGTAATAGTTAACAAGATATTAATTACTAAAAATTGCAAAATATTGGTCTTGAATAATTTTTTACTCAAATACTATCAACTTTACAGAAAAACTGCAAGAGACAAAAATTATTTATTTTCTTCTCATAAAGTTCTGAGAATTTTTTATTAATTTTTTAGTACTGCATTTTCTCATTTTTACCAACATGAAAAAATACGGTATTAAAAAATTCTGAACAAATTTTCAGAAAAAATTTTCAGAACTTTATGAGAAAAAAATAAATAATTTTTGTCTCTTGCAGCTTTTCTGTAAAGTTTTGATAGTATTTGAGTAAAAAATTATTAAAGACCAATATTTTGCAATTTTTAGTAATTAATATGTTGTTAACTATTGCGAAAATTGCAAAATGATAGAGGACTTTTCGTCTCAGTTTAGTCCGCTCTATCTACACAAAAGTGATTGGCAAAAAAAGTCGGAACACCCTGTATACACATACATATGTATATAACTGAATTTAAAACGGTCTTTTAGGCGATTTTAAAATAATTTTACGCAAAATTTCCAATTAATTATACATTTAATATACGAGGCGTACAGTTGATTCATACAAAAAAAAAACCAAATCAGAGAAGAGAGAGAATGATTATATTGATAATTTATAAGTGAGTAATTGAGCAACGCAATTTTTATTTTTAATATCATTTATTTATTCTCTTTCAAGATCGTACGTACGTCAGTGTCATATTTTACAATGTTGCGATCGGTGAAAAATTAATGAAAAATTAACTGTTCGCGCGTAAGCTGATACTGCGTACTTAAACTTAAAATATAATAACATGTAAAATATAAACGATTGATTGCAATATGTTTTAACTAAGGAAAGTTTAGAATAAATACTGACAACACAGTTATAACATTTTATGGGATTCGACATTAAACATTGGTACTTTCCACCCTAAAAATTTTATTTCTACGGGTGCATAAGGCATTCCTATGTTTGTTCGTGTTTTATCTGGATTGAATTTTACACCATATTCAGATATGCCATTCCTAATTATTTCCAGAAACCTGTAAAAATTGATACATAAGATTTTACGATTTATTTTGTGCATGCGTATATGCACGCGCGCATACATGTCTAATAATATAAGCAAGATTACTGAAATTACTTTACTGCATGATGTTCATTTTCAGTAAAATATAACATATCATCAACATATTTAACTAAAAAACCATTGTTCGTATATTCAGAGAATATTTCTTTAATCATGTGTTGATAATATATATCAGATAAAATCGAAGATACTGATAAACCTTGTGGTACACCACTTTTTATTGAACGTATTTGACCATTTAATTTAATCTACAATAAAAATATTATTTAATATTAATTGCAACTTTCATGTATATTTGTTTTACCTTTTGTTGAAATATTAATTCATACAGCTTAGAAGTGACCCATATTTTTTTAAGTAATTTGGGTTTTTCTATGCTTGGATCTATATGTTTGGATATTAATTTTTTCAGGTGATTAGATATAATCTGCACTGTATATTTGTATATCTTATTTTGTTTTTTCTTAGGTTTGTTTAGGGTACAAAGTTGTACAGCAATATACCCCTCTAATTCTCGACAATACATATGAATAATATCATATAATTTTTCTAAAACAGATTAATAAAATACTTGATAACCAATATATTAAATGTGGTAAACAATAAATTATACCTTGTAATATTGAACCAAATGCATCTCTAATGTCACATTGAACAAAATACAAATGATTCTCAGATCTTGGTGTTAAAAAACTACGAATGGCATGTTTGCAGCCTGCTACAGTTGGGATCCCATTTTCATTAAAGTATGTAATATATAATTGTTGAAGAAATCTTAAAACAACGTCAATTTCATCATACTTTGCTTTAGTATCATGCCTAAAATTGTAAATATATATATATACACACATACACACACACACACACACACACACACACACACACACACACACACACACACACACACACACACACACACACACAAAACACTTTATTAATATTCATATTTATTTGTAAAAATAACATTGAAGGAATGTTAAACAGATTTTTATGTACTTTGTCAAATATAATGGTCTCAAACCAGAAGAACCTGGAATAAATTTATATGTCCCAGTAATTCGTTTCTTATTTGACGTCATATATGGCACAAGACTACCAGATTTCTCTTTTTCCTTTATATATTCATTTTGCATATTGCACCAATCATCTTTTGTGATGTAAATCCATTGCTTTCTAATTGCTATCAAGACCACATATTTATGTAAAATCTTTATGATATATTGTGCAAAAAACCAATGTAATAACTTTAGTATAATTATCCATTGTATTGTTGCATCATCAACTGAATGTAACCAATTAATTTTGGAAATCTAGGAAAAAAAATAATGCAGAAAATATTGGAAAATTTTATGAAATTGATAAAAAAAATGACAATGGTCTTAACAAGATCAAAATTTTTTATAATTTCTTTAAACTTTCAAACATACATCCAACTTCCTGAATAATAATTCCATAACTAGCGATGCCCCAGTGGCAACTGTTTTTCGTACAGTTCTTTTGAAAGCACTCTTTATTAATATTTTATTTGGAACTGTCTTTAAGAGAAGAGATATTGTCTTCTTTACAACTTTTTGATTTTTTAATGTGCCAAATAATTCAAGAGGAACATTTTCATATACCAGCAAACCAAAGAAAGATTGTAGTGAATGGACATGAATTTGATGTTTGAATTTTAAGGGTGGATACTGTTTGCTATCTTTTTCTATTATACATTTCAACTTATCAAAATAATTATATTTATTATGCCGGTTCTTGAACAATATCGTTATTGGTGATAAAGCAGGAATAACACTGTCTAAATTAACGTTTCTATAACATCCTGTAAGCCCAATATCTGTACTTAGAATTTTATGACACATATCCTGCCCTGTACTCTTGCTTTCTAAAATAGAATATTTTGAAATTTTTGCCGTAGTACGATTTCCCTTCCATATTTTACATCTAGACTGAAACAATTTCACTCTAGAATTATATGCTTGAAGTGGAATAGAACATGTAACTTTTGTCACTGCTTTTGACTTTGGAGATATGTTTCTACGTTTCTTATTCCACCTCCCTCTATATGAATTATATCTATTTCTGAAAAAGAAAAAAAATTGATACTTGAAGAAAAGGAAAATAATAAAAAATGATACATACAAATTTTTTAAATATAAATTGAACAACAATAACTCTCGAAAATGTCATAAAAAGAAACCAAGGGCTAATGAGAGTACAATCGCGGTAATTATTGCGATGATTGAATTTATTATATATTACTATACATAAATATTTCGATTTGACTCATTCGATTGTTAATCGTTTTAATGTTTGCATGATATACCACGTTCTCAATTTTTAATATGGACAAGCTGCGGATTTTTCTTA